TCTCAACTGAATCCATGTTGAAAGGAAATAGTCAATCTTACTTGAGAAATACTTCAGTATCCATGTTCCGTTAGATACTGAAATCTGAGTTGTGCTTTGTTCTGTTCCCTGTGCTGTGTGGAAAACTGACTGAAAAACGTACCTATGCTGCTGGCTGAATGGGTTTGTAGTACTGCATAGTAGGAACCATCTTGACTACTATTGGCTTAAGACTATCTTGCCTTTACATTTTTTTTTTTTTTTAATGTTGTTCAATGTAAATAGCATAATTGTGATTTGAGGGGGAAAAATGGTTTGAATTAGTGTGTTTCTCTTTTCTCCTTATCCTTCTTTCCTTATGTCTTTTAGATTTTAAGCTTAAGAGGATAGATGAGTAAGATTACTGATTTTATGTGGGCAGTTCTGAGACTCTTTTCATCTGAAGAGCTAGTAAAAAAAATGGTTTCAGGTAGGTATAAACATAGTGTTACCTTAATTAAGCTGGAGAGCAATTATTCTCTAAGCAAGATAGTCAGGTTTTAATAGATTCTTCAAGTGGTACTAGCATCTCACTGTGTCAAAAACCTCACCAGGAACCAAGCAACTTAAAACTTAAAAAGTTAAAAAAGATTTATGGGCCACTTCTAGATGAAATGGGTAGCACATAAATCAACCAATCAAATTAATAAAGGAGAATATTTATAATTCAGGATTGAAACGATCTCTGGTGCTCTCTGAGTTTGGTGTTTTTCTAGCAGAAATTTCGTTACTCAAACTAGATAACCTCATCGATGCTCAGAGCATTAACGTTACCTAGTTTGGGTAATGAAACATCTTTCAAGAAAACAACCAGCTTCAGAGAGCACCAAGGAGCCCACAAACAAACGAAAATCACAGTCTTCTTTCAGCGGGATCAGCATGTCTTCTAAAACAAAAAGAAGCAGCGTGCTACAGAAAGGTGTTTGGGGTATTCTCTCTATTGTCTCTTTGGCTTAGTCATGGATAGCATAACCAGATATAGTAGAATCTCATGCAGATCAGAAAATATACTTATGGTTTTAAATTGATTAGTTAATAAGCAAGGCCAAATTCATTAGCAGCCCAAATTAAAACCTGGATAGAACAATAGATTGATCTTTCTGTTATCATCAAAAATCAAATTTCAGGTGTTTAAAGTCAACTTTATACTTAAAATATCTTCTTCAGAAGGATTCACCACTAGTGAATTGAGAAATCTATTCTATCATGGAACAGAGCTGAATAATCATTTGCATATCCAATCAGACAACGCTCTCAAGGTATGTTCAGAATTGCAGCTTTACTTATAGAATATGGTTTTAGATATTTTAATTCAGTATTGAACTGTATGATGTCCCAATGAAGCTGAATCCCTAGAAAACATGTTCAAGACTGACGCTTAAAGCAGAAAATTACGTCATTTTAGTGTACATTCTGTTTCTAACATCTGATTGTAGATAGAAATTATGCAGAAATTATTATAGCTAAATTATAATAGTTATAGAAAGCACAGCTAAGATGCTGAAAATTAATTCAGCAACATCTAGAAAGCTAGAGATTCCCAATTTTTTGCTGTGAAGTGATAAAAATTAAAAGTTACCAGATATTTCCACATGGGAAAAATTATGGCATTTTCATTCCTGTAATCTTAAGGATTTAGTTAAAATCAGAAAAAAATAAATTCAGTCTCAAAACCTTAGAGATCTACTGGTCAAGAGTTCATTAGCCTGCCTGCATATTGATATATGGTAGAAAAAAATAATCCAAACATATAAATAAAATAATTTCCTCTCTGTTTGGCTTTTATTTTCAAGAAAATCTTTCCTGCTTGTTCTCTTTTGTATTATATAGAAATATTGTTGGATTTCTTAAGACATTCAAAAATGGCACAATTTAACAATATATATATGTAGAGAGAGAGAGAGAGGGTATAAATCCTGGTAAAAATCCCACACAGAATCTAATAGAAATACGAAGAGAACATGACATATAAATGGACTTAAGTTACTGGGAAGAAGTAGTGGAAACTGTAACCTGAAAAGTAATCAATCTTTCCTAACCTAGTCCCCCCAATGTGCCAGACTACACCTCCCCTAATACTCATCAAGGGAAGTTTGGAAAGGCCAATTGAGGGTATGACATTACTTTGGAATAAGGGTAAATCAGGGCATTCAAAGTTAAGCTTCTTCCAGTAGCACATTTCAGGGTAACTGTATTTAATGAATCTTCAAAGACCTAAATGACAAAACAATCTTGCAAAATTGAGGGGATGTCAATTATTCTCCCAGGCGGTCTTATGAAGGACAAATAACCGAGAATAACCAGCAGACAGAAATAAAAGCATGCCAAGCATAAGAAAGTAGAAGGTGAAGATTTCTGGAGAATCTACGTAAAAAGTGAGATTCTATTGTATGATCCGGTCATTTATTTCCAAGTGAAAATTCACATACTTAAAACTGTGATTAGTTTCACGCAGCTTCAGGAATTCTGATTTGTAAACCAGTTTGCAGACTGAGCTGTTCATCATGTTGCTGGACCCGATAGTAGCTTGAGTCCAACTTCAGTCAGAATGTTATTTTATTTATCAAATTTATATGCTCATCTCGTAGTATGGTTTTCACCCCGATGTGCAGTATTTGCTTACAGAAGCATTCAATGGACAAATTACCCAAGAATATGCAGATTTTTGCAAATTATTATATTACTTCAGAAGTAATATGCTATTTTAAAAATATTGTATATTCTTTGTCTAAATAAATAGGTTTAATATTTAAGTATACCAAATATTGTGGCTTTAACATGCTTTCCAATCCTAGCCAGAATTAGTCAAGACTGGCTCCTCTTTCCCACAACCTTCAATAAAAACCATCAGCTCCATTCTTAAGTCTGAACCATGTCATATTGTTTCTATTTAAGATTATCTGGCAATTAGGTTCATGTCTAATTGGCCTGTTCTAAATAAATGTGCCTAAGAAAGTCCTACAGGATGACTGCTATGTATATTTTTTTGTAGAAATAAATCCCACAACCATCGGTGAATGAATTTTGCAGTGTCACATTTTAACAAAAAAAAGTTCCACGGATATTAAGCAAAATTAACTCCCTAGTAAATGGGTGAAGACCTGTGGCTTTGGTTACTTTGAGATACTCCTTTGGCTGCAGTGAATCCTGAAGGAATCTTTTGGAACCCTTTTCCACCTCTTAAAGGCAAGGAAGCCATTGCTCCCCACTTTCTCAAGCAATTTTTCAAATAGCTATAGCTATTTTGTGCCAAAGAGTGCCACAAAGTTCTGCTACTACTTTTAGGTGACCATGCAAAGAGACTGGGTGTGATGCGGTTCCAGTTTTTCTTAAACTTCAAACCATTTAGGTCAATCACTTTTGCAACACACTACATCACTATAACCCAACATAGAGGGAGTGCACACAACTAATGATTCTTTCTGGGGTCAATAATGGAAGCCATGTTTATTCTACAGATTTCTAGACTAAGAGATAAATTAATGCCTCCACTTCATTAACTGTGTTAGATGTGAACTCAAAGATCAGATAGGGTGAGTTGATGCATAATAAAACAATTGTATATAATCTTAAATAAAAAGATTCCCGCTCTGATTGATGGAAACAGACCTTCTTTATGATTCAAGCATAAATTATTTTGTTCCTTTTTTTTGCCTTTAAAAAAAGTTATACTACAAAAGTCTCCATAATAAATGTCTTTAAAAGTCCCTATAATACAAATTCTAAAAATAATGCAAATACACCTTTTTCTTCACACCATAACATTCAAATCAACCCTTTGTAGTTCACTGTGAATATGGTCCCACGTGTGTAAATTGCACTGATTACTTAAGAACCAAGGGGAAAAAGATCACTGCATTCATTCATTCATTCTGTAATATAATTAGTGATAACACAGTTATGCTCTTCAATAAAAACTACTATTTGTCAACATCCAATATTCCTATAGTAGGAAAATTAGATTAAATTATAAATTGGGCCATTTATAAGGGCTAAATTTTTGTCCTTAGATGAGCTGAGAATTTCATCCCCTCCCTCAACTAGGACAGCAGCCACCAAGGGCATTGGTTTGCAAAAATGCATGGTATTTTCAAACTCAAACAGTGCTATCTTATGTTTACTTAGAAATCAATTTCATTGCCCAGAAGGGGGCTTACTCCTGGATAATGAGTATAATAGGACTGCAGACTATGCATATCCCAATTAAATTAGAAATCCTTATTCACTGAAGGAGTGAATTCTGAGTATCATTTACTGTAAAATTACAACATACTGAAAGCAATTTCTGGTGAAAACATGACAATAATCTTTTGTGACATTGTGAGGGCACCACAAAAATATCCCCGACTACCTTAAGATAAACAGCAGGCATTTCCAAAATGATATGTTACTACAACATTGTATTTTGAGAATGCTTATACTTTGCCTCTCTAAAGCTTCAATATTGTTCGACTTTTCTGTTAATACATTAACACAATGAGTACCAATAAATAAACTAGAGGAAAGCTCTTAGAAGATTGTATTAATATTACATTGTGCAAAACATGTAATGACCTACATTCTATACACATACCCTGACTAAAATATGCAGGCTAAATTCAGAAGCCATTACTCAGTTTCTACGTTTTCCTTGGCAATTCAAGTGGCCACAATCTTGTAATTAGGTATATTATCTTCCCTTGATTCTGTGGGGTGAAGGAGGTAAGCATGTCGTAGACCAGTGATCCCCAACCTTTTTGACGCCGCGGCCCGGTACCGGCATCAGCTGGGCGCCGCGGCCCAGTACCGGCATCAACTGGGTGCCGCCATCTTTTTTTGATGAAAAAGTGCTTCCGGTGAGCTTTCTACCCGGAAAAGCTCACCGGAAGCACTTTTTTACCAAAAAAAGATGGCGGCGCCCAGCAACCAGCGGCCCGGTAAGACTTGTTCCGCGGACCAGTACCGGTCCGTGGACCGGCGGTTGGGGACCCCTGTCGTAGACCACTGCTAGTGTCCAGCTAACACTGCACCGTTAACATCTATGGGACCTTTGCTACTTGTTTGAATAAAATCAACTATAGGCATTGAATAATGACTTCCATATTTGGCCTGATTTTTGTGATTGGTGTTACACTTACATTAATCCCCTTAAGTGCGGGATAACTTTTTTATGACGATGATGATGATGATGATTTGCAAAAAGAAAAGTCACCGTTGTAATAGATTTAGCAGTTGATTTCCAAACCTGCCCTCTTATTGGGAAGATAAATAGCTTATACAGTTTAGACAATGAAGTAACTCTTTCAAGATCCATTATAATGTGATTATCCAGCAGGGATAGGCTTTTTAGTTCCATAAAAGAAGGACGGCTCAGTATCTATTTAACATTAAGTGCTTTCTTCATTCAAATAAACAATAGTTCAATTCATCAACATGTCTTTTGCTGCTGAGAAGACAATAATGATCCCTGTCTGGTAGCTGGGTGTCCCAAACGAAATTCTCATTGCTTCTTCAGACAGAGTCTAACAGAACCCGAGCCAATTTGGAATCTAAAATTTTGGTTATCTTTTTTTTTTCTTTTTTAATGATAATTTGAAAAACCTAGGTCAACCAAGTTTAGTAATCTGGAGGTCTCCATTTATCTTTATTGTATCAATAGCTGATAACTTCTCAATGCGATGGTAAAAATCAAAAAGCTGGTGTCCATCCACGAATATTCTAAAACGAGGGTGTTCACATAATATTTCAACCTGGAAGAAATAAAGTATGGATGAGGACCACAATTTTAATTGGAACATTTGAAGAACTCACAAGTAGCGTTGATATAAGACGTGCTATCTATCTTACACAGCTTTGACCACCTATGTGATTTGGATTAGATCACTCACATATGTCCTCTTTTGCAATCCAAGTAGACAGACACAGTGATCCATGCAGAACTGAAAGGCTATTTATTTGCAGCTGAGACAAGAAAACCTGCTCACAGAATCGTTGATTGATATTCCTAAGCCCCCAAGTCAAATATAGTTTCATATTTATAGTCAGAGAATAAGTATAGTTTCCCAGTTATTAACTCAAGTAGTAATTAACTAAAGCAAATGGAAAAGTAAAATGGCAGAACATAATCAAAGTACTGATGCATCCATTGGGTGCCTGGTGCAGATAAGGAGGAAAAGACAGTATGGTACTATAGCAATGCAGATCGTGGGATATAAATAAAGAAATATAACTGAATAGCTAAGGTATCTTCTTCAGCATGTTAGTTATGAACCTCATAGATAATACTCTGGTCTTTTTTTCTAATACAAGTGTGCAAAGGTCTAATACTTAATGCCTCCCATAACTAGATGGGAAAAGCATATCCATAACTTAGGTTTTGCAAAATTCTTCCATCAGCCTACTATATGTATTTTCAGAACACTTAAAGGAAATCTCTGGTGTGAATATAAATCTTTCTCTGATTCAGTATTTAAAAGAGAGGATCTAATAGTTAATTGATGCAAATAAAGGGCTGCATCCAACCTCATACAAGTCAATTTCTAAAGGTGGGGTTGGAGTTTCTCATGGTCTCCTTACAGAGTTAATTTGTGTAGATCTTGTAATTTGAGATCTTGTAAATTGCAGAGGGAAAAAGGAGAGCCTTATTTGCCAATTGCATCATTTTACTATTAGCTGAACACAGTTGAAGATTTTTTAAATTAATATCCTGCATTCTTTCAGGGATTCAAAGCAGTATACCTAACTTGTGATTTTCACCTGATTTCACCCCACAATATCACCACTGCTACACTGAGAGAGAATATCCAGCACTTGATCATCCATCAAGCTTTCATGTCTAAAGGAAGATTTGTTCTCTCCAAGCCTAGTTCAAAACTTCAAGCACTCTGTTGTACTAGCTTTCTTTACTCTTTAACCAGACATGATATTCTTCCGATTAAAATCGGAATTCCGATTTTTTTGGGAATCGCCGCAAGCGGAGCCCGGGCGGGTGGGCGGGCGGTGCGAGCGGAGCCCGGGCGGGTGGTGCAAGCGGAGCC